AGAGAGAGACAGAGAGACAGAGAGACAGAGACAGACAGAGAGACAGAGAGAAACAGAGACACAAAGACAGACACAGACACAGAGACAGAGAGACAGAGTGAGACAGGGAAGATGGGAGATTTAGGGGGGAAGAATGGTCTGACGGAAGTTCTCTGGGGGCAGGGATAGTGGGGAGGGGTCCAGGGAGTGGGGCCTTTGGAGCAGGCCAGTCATATGAAACCCTGGAGGAAGACATGGGGAATCACAAACAGCTGAGGCTGGAGTGGACCTGGGAGAGGGGCTAGAAGGGCAAGCAGAGAAAGAGGCTGGGCAGGGGAAGCCTCTCCAGTGGGGAGATGCAGAGTCACAAGTGATGCTCACAGAGCTAACCAGAAATGCAGAGACACAGAGGGAGGCAGAGGGTCAGAGGAGAGTTAAAAGGCTGGGCTAGGGCTTTGGTGGGGACCCTGAGGAGCTGGCATGGGCAGGGCCAGGGAGTGGCTGTGAGAAGAACATGTGGCTTTCTTAGGGGACCCTGACCCAATCCAGAACGTGGTTCTTTTCTTAAACCCAGAAAATATCCAGCCCAAGGTTGATCTGACTGTGGCCTGCTTTCCGTGGCCTTGGGTGGGGGTGTCTATCAAGTCTTTCCTCCCCTGCAGAAACACCAGAGTCTCCCCCTCAATGCAGGGGCCGAGGCAGAGGGGAGCTTGGTTTTCACCACTTACCCAGCAGGCACAATGCCACCAGGTATGGACAGGCCCAGTAAGTCAGGACTGCAGCCAGGCTCCTGACCCCCACCCTTTACAACCCCAGCTCTAGGCTCTGGTCGCTTCCGTGGGGCCCAGGCCACCCTGACATTCACCTAATTGTCTTTCCACTTTGATGAGTGGCTCTGCAGAGGCGCCGCCGCCCGATCAAATTAAATGTGAACCAGGCAGGCAGCCCGATGATGAGAAGGAAATACCACATTTACATAGCCCAGTCCTGATGGTGCAGGGAGACCCAGCCTAGGAAGACGGAGACCTGGGGACCTAGGGAGAGACAGACAGAGGGTTGTGGAGCAAGCCAGATACACCACCAAGGGTGGGGGTGGGAGCGGGCGCCATCTGCAGGTCCTGGTCACTGTCAGGTGAAGGGCATTTGGCAGTAGAATCAGTACATGTAGAGCTTCTTGTCACCTCTACGCAGGTAGCCTCACCTCTCCCCAGCTCAGTGCCAGGTTCAGGGCTAAGGAGGTGGTCTAAAGCCCCATCTGCCAGGGAGGCCCCCTTTTGCCCAACTTCTGCTGGGGCTCTAGAAGGCTCCCCTCACCCCATCCAGACTCACAGCTGGACCACAGCTGCCTCCTTCAGCACAGCCCTGGTGGGTGGGGCTGAGAGCTTCTCCTGGGTTCACTTCAGGACATCCTGGCTGCCTTTCCTGGGGTGCCTTTCCTGAGCTGGCCCTGGAAGGGTGTGTGCATGCACAACTGTGACCGAAAGTGGTTATGGGTGGTACCTGTAGAGGCCCTCTGTGCACTAGGCCTGGGTAGTTAGAGGACACTAGAGAGCTAAGCCTTTTTCCCTCAATGTGGAGTTAGGACTGGAGGTGCTGGCAGGGCCTGATGCTCCCACCTTGATATCCCAAGATTGAATGCAGGATGAGTAGATGCTGGTGTCTATGTCAGAGTGTCATGTCTCTCCTACCCCAACAGTGTATTACCAGGAACAGCCATTGGGAGAGCTGCAAAACAACTCCAAAAAGAGCCATTGATCTCCCAAATTTTCAGAGGGGAAAAATCGAGGTCTAGAGAGGGGAAGTAGAAGGTAATGATAGGCCGGCCAAGGCACAGCCTGTTCATGAACCCAAGACTGTCCCTCTCAAGCCCATGGGTCTTTCTCTTGCTGTTTCTGTGTCTGAGTATCTGGACTCCTGGCAAAGGCTGTGCTCTGTGGGGGTGAATAAACACTGAGCCTCTCCTCAGCTTCCTTAATTCCTCTCCCCAGCAACGTCTTGCCTCCCCTCGATGCTCCAAGGCCTGGGTTGGACACCTCTGATAGTATTTTTACCAGCCAACAGCAAGTGTTTTACTGAATGTCTGTCGCAGGCCAGACACAATGTACGAGTTATAGAGTCCTCACTTCAGCCCTGTTCAGTAGGCACCATCAATAGGCTCCTTGGTGGTGGGCAGACGTGGAAATGAGACTCATATAGCTGAAGGAGAAGCATTTGGGTAAGTCAGGCACTGCACCCACACTATTTGGGTCCAGCTGGCTCCCTCTGAGCATCCCCTTCCTCTGTGACAGAGACAGACCTCAATGTGCAGGGAGGCAGGGGTGTGTGAAGAGGCTTCCCTGAATTTACACATCTAAGTGGGCAGTGTGGGCATAGCATGGTGTAAGTGTGGGGCCAGGGGCCCAGGTGGGGGTACGCGGGACACCTTGCTGTCTGCCAGTCCCTACTAGTTATTTTACTACCTCCTTTATTGACCCCTCACAACTCAACCACCTGTGTGTTTTCCTCCCACCCCCATTTTTGGGATGGATAAACTGCATTAGAAATGAAAAGTGACAGCAAATAGTGTTGAAGCTGATCCTAGGTCCAAAGCTCTTTCTAGAACCCCAAAGATGAGCAAGCCTGGCCTTTCCTTCCTCCCTCTGTGGTGGTGTTGAGGGCTGGGCTGGGGTGCCTGCCTCTGTCTCTACCAACTGCTGTGTGGGGCTCCACTGCCTGTGCTCCCAAGGGAGCTCAGTTGGTGGTGGGGGGGGAGTGCCTGTTAGTGCCACTGAAAAGCCCTTCCCCTCACCCACGGGGTCCAGGGTGGCTTTTACTGGGAAAATAATTAGAAATCTAATTCTTATTTCTCCCACTCCGCTAATTGTCTGTGGACAATTTGATTGTAACAGTCGTCACTGAAGCAGAAAAACCACCTTATTTCTGCCAGATATCCTCCCTGCAATTAACACTAGCAACTGCCTCTTGCTCCCCTCACCTGCGGACACCCAGGGCCTGAGGTGCCCTCACCTCTCCGCCTTCCACCTCTGGTGAGGGCACATCTGGGAGCCAGGCCTGGCCAAGGGCAGAGGGGGGAGGGGCAGGGCGGAGGCCAGGGCCCCAGAGGGCAGGCCGGCAGCAAGAGCGAGCAAGTGAATATAAATATTTGAGCATTTGGGTAAAAGAAGGAGGGAGAGATGAAGACCCAAGCTCAGGGAGAGACAGAGGAGCAGGGCCAGGCCAGGGCAGGGAGAGGCAGGGAGAAAAGAGGCAAAGGAAGAAGGAAGTGCCTGAGGAGGGCAGGGCCAGGCAGGGACTCACCTCTGAGACAAAACCAGACTGTGTGCTTCCAGCTCTGTGAGGGCTCCCTGGAGAGCCCAGCCTCTTCTAGGATGCGGCTGGTTGAGGAAAGGAAAGGGGAGGCCAGAGCTTTGGGCCGCTGGGGACAGAGAGGGCAGTCCAGGGCGGGGCAAGAATGTGAGTGAGAAGCCTGAGAATGGAATGCCAGGAGCCAGGAGCTGGGCTGGGACTGACCTGTTGATCTGAGTGGCCAGGCTCCATCCCCCTCATACCCTCAAGCCACCACCTTTCCCTCCTGAGAGCACAGAAGGGGGGTGCCCTCTGCCGTGACCCCAGCCTCCTTATTTACTAGTCTTCAGGGTAGACTCCTTGGCTTTCTTGCCCTGTTTTGCTCCTGAGGGCAGCAGGCAGGTAGTCATGGGTAGACAGGGAGCCCCAAGCCACTTGGGCTGAGCCCACCCCATTGGGATGTTGCTTCAGTTGTAGCCTGGTCCAGGGGCAGGACAGGACCTCTGGCTGTGTGGGTACCACTGGGTACACTGCTCTCAGATGCCATCTCAGGGTGTTGAGTGGCTTGCCAGATGCTTCATGGAGGAAGTGGGTAGCCTGGCTCAGGCTTTCATCTGCCTTTTCTGCCTTAGCCCAGGGTCTGAGAGGGAGAGTAGAGGGCTATAATGCTGGAGAGAGGGAGGGGCGTCCTCCCTGAGCCTGCCACCTCTCCAGCCATCTTCAGCCCTCCGCTCCCCACCTTGGCTAGTCAGAGAGGAGAGGGGCCCGGGGCTCCTGTCAGTCTGGAGCTGGAGAGCTCCCCGTGCTTCATTAACATGCAAATTAGCAAGTTCTGACTGGCTGTGGCAGCCATGGGCAGCCACCCCTCCCAGCCATGAGCGTGTGTGTGTGTGTGTGTGTGTGTGTGTGTGTGTGTGTGTGTGTTGGGCATAGAAGAGGGGTTAGCTCTCTTTTCCCTGTCTCACACATATATCTCCAGAAAGACATATATACGTGACACACAGCCACCTCTAACACAGTCTTAGGGCCACCTATGGACCCCCACATTTCATGCATCACACACACCCCCTGAGCTGCCTCAAACAGGCACACCAAGCCCACCCTCTTCCAAACTCACACTGTCTCACACTCCCACCACAGCCCTACAGCATCCCCCCACATGTCCACAGTCACACACAGTCCAGTGAGAAGCAGCAGAGGAGGCTTCACACTGGGTCCCAGAATACAGCTGCCACCCCATTGGATGCCCTTCATGCTCACCCATTACCATGTTCAGTCCACCAGAACCACTGATATAGATAGACTCTCTCTCCCTCACATGCCAGCTCTCACGGCAGTTTGTGTTCTGGTCTGGTCTCTCTGTTTGGACCCCACTTGGAGATCCCTACCCCAAGCCCAATTGTGTTGTCCTGTAGGCATTGCCCCACTGTGGACAGCCCTGGCTTCCTCTCTGAGCTGGGCCCCTCCTCTGGCTGCACAGTCCCTGGCTTCCCTTGAGAGTGGCCCTGGTCATGCTTCATTGCATTTGCCTGTTGATGTGTCTCTTGCACCGGAATGGGAGCTCAAGGAGGACAGGGGTGGCGTCAGTCAGTCTTGTTTACTGCCCTGTGCCCACACTCAGCTCCTTCTTGCTGTCCATGCTATTTCCACAACAGGATGGACTCGGAGCCAGGGTTAGTAATGGGAATGGCTAGAACTGACATGGCACTTTGTGTGTGCGGGGCCACGTGCGCAACAGCACTTGGAAGGAGTTTATTTTACTGATCCCATTGTAGGGGATGAGGAAACTGAGGCACAGAGGGTTTAAGGTACCTGAGCAAGATCACTCAGCCAGAACTGAGATCTGAACTCTGGCCACCTGCTCTAGATAGCCACTTGTGCGTCCTTCTCAGGACTGAGGCCAGAGCCTGGGAGAATTGGGGCAGTTTGGGTGGGGCGGGGCAGAAGGCTCCCCATGGTGATCTGGAGGGGGCTCCTGATCTGCTTTGGAGGCTCTGGGGATGGGGTGTGTGAGCTGGGGGATCACCCAGGGCAACCCATATCGGAGCTGCCTCACGCCAACCTTCTTAATGCCCACTACAGTGTGTGAAGTGCACACATTCGAGTTATATAATTCTTCAGGTAACCCAGTAATGTTGGTATCATTATTCACTCCATTTTACAGACCAGAAAAGTGAGGCTCATGTGTTTCCACACACCCAAGCTGGCCTGGTGGTCATCTGCATTTTCATCTTCAGGGATTGCTTCCTCACTGCTTCTGGAATACAAGCTGCCATCCTTTACAGAGCCTACCCCCTCCAAGCCAGTGCTGATTGGCTCAGTGATGAGTACATGATTCAAATTGGGCCAATGAGAGCCCTGGAAGGAGACTCTTGAATTTGGGACCAGGGTGAAGCTCTAGGGTTTTCAGCAGCCCACATTTCACATGGAGGGTCTGAATGGCCAACATGCTGAAGAGACTCAAACAAGGTCCAGCCATAGCTTGCCTGGAGCTGGGCATCTGGGGGGCTTCAGCACATCCTCCACTTACTGGCTGGCTGGGGTCCCAGTGATTGCCTCCATGCCCAGACCTTTCCTTCACCCTTCTTTCTTGTCACCCCTCTGCTTGCCTAGAGCTCCATGCTCCAAAAGTGGCCTGGTAGGGAGAGGGGCAAGAGGTCCGTGCCCCTGGGAAGAGCTGGATGGGCCCACACTGAGGCTGAGGGCATAGAATACCTTCTCTTGCCAGGTCCCTGGCCCAGGACTGCAATCTCTGCAACCAACAGGGCCAGGCTTCTGTCTGTGTTCACTGCACCTAGAATGGCATGGCATACAGTTGGCACAGCTGCCCACTTGTGAAGTGGAAGAAGGAGGAGAGGGTGGGTGGACGGGCATGCTCTTGGGCTTGGAAGGGTTGCAGAGCTGGCTCTCTTGGGTGGCATGAGCATGCTGTTTGGGCACAGTTGGTTCCCATGTGGTTCCTGGCTCTGGAAACCACTAGAGCTTGTGGGTGGGGCTCATGGGTGGTCCTCCCCGCTGACCTGTTCTCTGTCATCCTCATCATCTCTGTCTTTGGGGCCCTTTGGTATGGGGGCAGGTCCAAGCTGGATCCAATTTTTATAGTTTTTCCTTCTTAACTTAGAAGAATATCCTTTGAACACACAAGACCAAGAATAAGCTAGGTGCAGTGCGCAGGGTTACCCTAGCACTTAGGGCAGCTGAGGCAGGAGAATCACAAATTTGACCCTAGCCTAGGAAACTTGGTAACTTAGTAAGACCCTATTGCAAACTAAAAAAGGGCTGGAGATTCAGCTCAGTGCAAAATTGCAAAGGTCCTGAGTTCTATTCCAAGTAACACACACACACACACACACACACACACACACACACGCACACCCTAAGGATATATGCCTTTGTTTCTCTAGTCTGTGGCTGGGGTGACCCCAGTGTCACTCACCTGGTGGAATAGGCACCTGTGTAATGCTGAGGGTTGAGGGCTGAGGACTGAATCCTAACTGCAAAGACCAGAGGGAGGCTCTGGGACAACCAATGGAAGCACTTGGTGAGAGTGAACCCGGTGTTGTCAGGCCGCATGTCAGTTGTTGAGCTGGGACTTGAACCCAGGCCCCTCCAGGTACCTTTCTGAATTCTCAAGAGTACTGATTGTTTCAAAGTGAGTGTGGTCAGGGCTTACTCAACGTGACCTGGTGCTCCCACCCTGTTCCTGAGCCCCACCTTCCAGAGCCTGAGTGGGCCATAGATGGGGCTTGGCGGAGACCCACCCTGCCAGGCTGAGGGCCACTGCTAGGTCTGTCCCTTCTGCTCAGGAGTTTCTTAGCCAGGAAGGGGTCCCTGGTTTGTGGAGAGGAAAGACAGAGCCAGATCTGCCCCATGGGGCAGAATCCCTGAGTATTCTTCAAGACTGACTGCAAATGAAGTGGAATGAAGGTGGTTATTTTTGCCTTGGCTCCTTAACTTGGCAGCTGCTACTGGCATCTGGCACAGATGAGGCAGAGCATGGCACCAGGCGTGGCGCTCTGGGGGCTGGCCTGCTTTAGCCCAGAAGCGAAGGGTTAACAGGCTGGAGAGGAGGGAGCAGCAGTCTTTGGCTAAAGAGCCTTGTTAATTGATTCCCTCATTCCCATTTGTTCCTGCTAAAGAGAGACAGATGAGAGGGAGCCCGCCAGGCCGTCTTGGCACCCGACAGCTTGGCTGGGCACAGCTGTGCTCGTGGCTCTGGTGTCTCTCTGGGGGAGGGGCCAGTGCCATCAGTGGCAGCGGAGGTGAGGAGGTGGGGCAGTCACATGGCAGGCCCAGTGCCCTTTGCTTGCCCTGGGACTGGCACAGGCTGTCTGAGCACCCTTCTGAGAGGACAGATCTTTGATTTCACCTCATGACACCTCTTTGATCATTTGGCCTGCCCTGTTGCCACACATGGGCTGGCAGCTCTCTTAGCCTGGGGCCTGGCCAGCCTGAGGCCTGGAGGAGGTTTCTGCCTAGAAGAGGGACAGCTCTGGCCTGTCCAGGAGAGCTCTGTGCCTTTGCAGCAGGCTGGAGTCCATGTCACAGGATGAGCATCTTTGCCATGGCTACAGCTCTGCCTGAATCCCCCAGGGCTCACCTGCCTCAGACTAAACTTCCTGTGATCATCCTGTCTCATCTTCATCTCATTCTCAGTGAGGATGGTCAGACTGAGATACCCTGGTCCTGGCAGTTTTCCCTAAGAGAATGGAGTTTGAATGCCTCCATGACCCCGGAGTTAAGATCCTGGCTCTGCTGTTTGCTGCCTATATACTTTGGGTAAGACATTGTCACTGCTTTGGTCCTGAATTTTTTCATGTGCAAAATGGTGGTGGTACAGATACAAAGACCTATCTGTAGTAGACTGCAGAAGCACCCCAGCTCTCCCTCCCTTTCTGAGCATGCCCCACAGCAACACACCTTTGTGGGTTCTCTCCGCAGCTTGATTCTGGGATGGCTTCATGACTTACTGTAGCTGACAGGATGTGGAGGAAGTGCTGGGGCCAGCTCTGAGCCCGAGCCTCAGGAGGCCTTGCAGGCTCTCGCTTGTTCTCCTGGAACCCTGCCCAGCAGCAGTGTGAACAAGCCAGGCTGTCCTGCTGGATGAAGAGAGACACATGGCCCAGCCACTCCCGTCACTCCAGTGACAGCCGGCCAACCTCAGAGCAGAGCCACTTAACTGACTTGAAGCATCAAGTGTCCCCAGCCAAGAACAGAGTAGCCCAGCTGCATTTCCAAGCCATAGAATCACGAGCTTAAAAAATAAGTGGTAGTTGTTTTAAGCCATAAATATCAAGACAACTCATTATACAGCAAAAGCTAACTGATACACTGTTGCAAATCACTGTTTTGTGGGTTAGATGGCACAATGTGAGTAAAGTAGTCCAGAGTGTCCCAAAGAGCAAGACATCAGAAAGTAGGGCTCCTATTATTGTTGCCCAGGGTGAAGCCATGGTCCACCTCTCACCTCCTAGGTGTCCTTCAAATATCAGGCCTTGCCCCAGTTACTTGGTGTTCCAGGCCTCATTCCTATTCACCAGTGACATCACAACCTGGCTTACTGTGGCCACCTGTGTGCTTGCTGTGAGTCTGCCTTTCCTACTCCAGTACCAGGTTGGTGAGGGGATAAGCAGGTTGCCCTTCTGTGTCCCTCACTGCCAGCACAGGTGTACACAGAAGGGTTTAAGGACCTGACTAAGTGGCTATTTGAATCCAGCTGGGGTGGTACTGTTCTCCCCATTGTACAGAACAGTAAGTTAGGGCTGCCACACGCAGAGCCAGGGAGTGGCAGGAGGCTAATGCCTAAGTCTGGGTGAGGACAGAGTCTTTGGATTTTCCATAAGGACCACATTTATGCTGTATCTTAATTCACAAAGCAGTGTCATGCCTGCTATTCTATGTCATCGTTCTACCCATTCCATCTTCCCACTTTTATAGATGAGAAAGTGGGAGCTGGCAGGTCCAAGGAGAGGGGGCTGCAGGGTCACATGGGTATTGTGGGCCCCTACACCTGCCATGGCTGGAGGGACTCATGTGAGCTTGCTCTGGCCAGCCAGGATCTCTGTCCACAAGGGCACCACCTCCCGGTGCAGGCCATGCGCCTGTGCCTGTCACATCAAGTTCAAGTGATTCATGTGGCAACGGCTCCTGGTCTGCCTGTCGGCACGTCAGCGAGTCCTGGTTACCATGACAACAGGATACAAGACACCAGGGCATCAGTGGGCTGTGGCTCTCTGAGGGGCAGTGCCATAGACGGGGGAGGGGGCTTGTTTCTTCCTCCTGTGGGAAGCTTGGCAAAGGCTGGAACTGCTGGGGGCTGGGCAGCCCCTCCCTGCCTCCGTGCCTTGGCATTTCCTTCCTGCCATCTGTGCCTGAGCTGGGGGAAGGGTGGGAGCGCCTCTCTGGTGGGAGGAGCTTGGGCGCTGCCGGGTGGGAAGAACGGCCCTCCCAGCTGGGCTCGGTCTCCATCCCAGATCTAGAGACCCTTCCAGGACTTTCCAGCTTTCCACCCTTCCAGCCTTCCTCTCTTTGGGACAAAGAGAAAGTTCAAGACCCAGTTCAGCCAGAAAATTGGTCTCTAGCTTGGGGTAACCCTGTGAGGGAGTACACCTTCAGAGAAGGGGTCCCGGGTGAACTACCCAGCTTTGTGCCAGCACCTGGCGAGGACCTCATCCCAGTTGCTTTCTCCAGCACTGTGTGTGTGCTCAGGATTATGATAACCATCCTGCAGAGGGAGAAACTGAGGTCCAGAAGTGACAGATGCAAAGTGACAACACCATGATTCACTTTTAGGTTCCTTGGCTCTCAACTTTGTTCTCACCAGACCTTTGCTATTGCCTTCACAGGGAGGAGTTCTCTCTGCCTCTGCCCCTTTGTTAGGTCAGCTCATCCCTGCCTGAGAGAAGGAACACTGATCTGTGCTCAGGTCTCTGCCCTGCTCCAGGCCAAAGCCACTTTGTCCAGGACCTTTGGGGGGCTAGAGTGAAGGTACCCATAGTGGACATGAGTTCATTGTATCCTACCCCAGGGAGAGGAGGAGACTGCACCCAGGATAGGTGGCAGGAATAGGAATGTGGGGGGCCAGCTGAGTCTGAGTTCCTTGGAGGAGCAGGGGCTAGTTTCCTTAATCGGGCATCCGATGGGACGCTGCTCCTTCTGCCAGGACCTTACACTCTCCATGGAGACACAGAGCTCTTCAGGTTGCCTTGCAAGATGGCAACCACAAGATGGTTCTGTGGCCCTTGTCACCACTTCCATGCCACAGTAAGGGAAATGAAAGTGATCAGGGTGGGCAAAAGACGTGGGCAGCAAGAACTCCTTCCTCTATGTGGGTATGGTTGGGGTCCCTTAATTTGGATGAGGAGGAAAAACACTGCTCCAGGAGAAGTACCTCAGAAACTGACATACATCCCTCTGAATGTGGCCCTGGTTTGCGAAGCATCTAGAAGGGGTGGTGATGCAGTGGGTTTTGTGGCCGGGGGCAAGCCCACATTCTGGGGGTCAGAGCAGCTACCATGAAAGGGGCCACCTGCCAAACAAGGTAACTTCTAGGAGTCTGAGGGCATGAACCTCCAGAAGCAGGAGATAAGAGACAGCAGGAATGGGCAGACCATTGCTCAAGCAAGGAAATCCCAGTGAAGGGATCCCAGCGAAGGGATCCCAGCAAGGGCGTCTGTAGAAGTCCCACTAGTACTGCCCCAGAGGGAAGCTCTATGCCCAGGCTTCTTGGCGAACCAGTCCCCGCCCCGTCTCCAATCTCTCAGCCTGACCAACCCAAGCAGGAGAGGGAGGGATGTAAGACTGATGAGAAATTGGACTTCTGATGCTATCTTGAAATTCTGATTCATAAAAATGAGGGTGATAGTGCCTGAGGGCCCTGAAAAATTATGGGATTGGCCCCACATGTAGTCCAGGAGTAAGGAACTCCAGAGCAGGAATCCTAGCAGAGGTGAGAGGGTTCGCACTGGTCTGCATTTGTCGCTAGTGCTACTAGCTGCTCTGGACCCTTGGATGGTCCCTGGGATGGGGATTCAATGCTGTTTCAGGCTTCTTCTTCCTAGGGGTGGCTAGCCCCTGCCTGTCCCCACACAGCTCCTTTCTGTCTGCACCTCATTGCCACCTGCCCTCCTGAGAGGGAGTGGCCACTGAGACTCTCAGGAAGTGGGCACCTTCATTGGCTCTGGGGGCAAAGCCCAGCTAGGTAGGCTTAAAAGTACAGATTCTGGAGTTAGCCCTGAGCTCAAGCCCTGCCTCTGCGCCTTAGTACCTGTGTAGCCTTGGACAGGGATGTGAGCTCTCTGAGCCATGCTCTCGCCTATCTAAAGGGGGAAGGAGCTCAGAGGCAGCTTGAGGATGAGGAGCTCAGAACCCGAAGCACACATCTCGGAGCCTGGCCCTGGGCAGCTTCTGGCTCCCACAGAGAGAGCTGTTATCTCTCCTTTGGAGCAGCAGGACCAGGCTCAGGGCCATGCCTTCCCCCACCCTTCCCCTGCACAGCCTATGCAGACCCCAAGGTCACCCCATCTATTTTTAAACTTTTTTTCTTCCCTATCCCACCATTTCCATCCTCTTTATCCCGCTCCCCCTTTTTCAGAAATGACATAATTAGAGGGGTTTAATGTTCTGCTGCTGAAATCTTCATTTTCTTGGGTAATTTCCACTATTTCATCAAAGAATAATTAATTGCATTGTCTTTAATCAATTGTTTTACAAATCCAGCAGCGGGAGGAATTCTCCCACCGTCTCCGCAGCTGCTCTCCCCTCCTGGGTGAGGCGCCAGCTCATGCCAAGGAGAGAGCTGGCTGCCAGAGCTGGGTGGGTGGGTGGGTGAGGGACCCAGGGGCGGGCCTGCAGTTTCCTCTATACTGGGGTAGGAGAGCAGGGGGCTGAGAGTCCACCTGGCAGCCACACAGGGAGTGCCACCTGCAGAGTGCAGGCCCTGGGAAAGGGCTATGCTCCCTGTGAGCTTGGGCCTCTTGGCCTGGGCAGGTGGGGAAAGTTGGTTCTATTCAGAAGATGCAGAAAATGAGACCCAGAGGAGTAGAGAGGGGCTCAAGAGGGAAGGTAAAAGCACTATCAGTATCTCAGAGAGAGAAGCTGGGGATTACCAGAGGGGAGACGGGAACTGTCCCAAAAGAGGATGGCTGCTGTGGGGCTCGAGGATGCTTCTCTAGTGCGCCCGTGGCTTTCCCGATCTTCCCTGCCATGGTTCTCACCCCCTTGTCCTTCCTACCATGCATTTGCACCAGGCAGAGGTGTGTGGGAGGGTAGAACCTGTGGTTCCAGAGTCTTCCTCTCTCCTTCTCTGTGGAGTTACCTGTGTATTATGGTGTAGATCTATAAGAGCCCCCAAAGCCTCATGTGTTTGCAGGGTAAATGGATTACAGGGCATTGCAGCTGTTTTGCTCTTAGGAGGTGGGACATGGATGAAACAGCCTGGTCCCTGGGTGTGAGTCAGAGGGGCTCATCTTCCCTCTCAGCTCTGCTCTTGACCCTCTCTCTGCCTCCCGCTCCCTGCTGGGAGCAGCTTTCCTCCACCAGCATCCCCATGCCTTCTTGCCTTTGAGCTGGCTGACTACAGACTTATATAGCCAGGAAACAGGCCTCCCCTCCCTTAAGTTGCAGGTGTCAGGTGTTCTGCCCCAGCAAGGGGAAGCTGACCCTGCAGGGCCAGTCTGTCTACAGGCCTCCCACCCAGCTACAGCTAACCACCCTTACCCTTCACTCCCAAGTCTCCAGAATTGGTCCGGAGGAGGGGAGGAGGACAGGAGGCCAGTGCTGAGAGAAAGAGGCCTTGCAAAGCCTGTGCACCGAAGCATCTGTGCTCCCCCAGGATCTAGGTGGCAATCTAGAACTCTGAATCTTCCTTTCCATGAGGCTCCCTTACATATAATTTTCTCCTTTACCTGCCTCCTGTGGATCTGGAACAGTACCCAGGAAGGCGAGGCAGGGAGCAGACACACTGGCACAGCAACCTGTGGAGACAGGATGATCACAAAGCACGTAAAAACTCAAAGGATGCAGACTTTGGGGCCACAGTGCAGGACTAAAGCAAGGGCTGCAGACATCAGGGAAGCAGGGTTGCAGTCCAGATGTCAAGGTTCATCACACAGGTTGCTTGATGTAGGCAAGTTACTTCATCTCTCCAGACTGAGATCCTCGGTCTACTCAGTAAGGTACAAGAAAAACTGCATCTGCATTGAAACAAACCTATGGGCAGGCAAGGTTATTTTATGCCACATAGAGTGTTTCTTATAGCTTTTATTGATGTATCCATCCAAAGTAGGGTTAAAGGCATTGACTCCAAGGTCTTCCATTGTAAAGGTTGTGTGGACTGGCCTGTGCCATCCACCGAGTACTGGGCCAAGAATACAGAGGGGAGAAAGACACAGTCAGTTTTCAAGCTTGTCAGTCTAATAAGGGACAAAGTAGGGAATCAATCATTGCAGTGCAACAAAGTACAGCGGCTGGAGAGATTCATGACAGATCAAGATGGCTGGGTCTTGACGGGTTAGTAGGAGTTCTTCAGGCAAAGAAGGGGACAGGAATCAAGGTAGAGAGAGCTGTGGGTAGAGGCATGGAGTCATGACATACTTGTGTCCAGAGAATTGGGGGTGGCTCTGTCTCAGTGGAACATTAGGACTGAGACAAAGAAAGCTAAAGACAAGGCTGGGCAGAGAGTTGGAGGACAATTAGAAAAGTCCATAAACATTAGCTGGAGGGATTTGGACCTTATCCCCTGGACAACTGGGGAGCCATGGAATATCACAGAGCAGAAAGAACATGATCAGATATATGTATCAGAAAGTCCTTTCCTTCCATAGTGTCCAAGGTAGGGATGCATTGAGGTGGGAGTGGCAGGGCTGGAGGCAAGGGAAGGGCTTCTGTGACTGATGAAGGTGTGGCCTGTGCTGGGCAGAACCAAGAGAGGGAGTCCAGAGATGTGTGGAAGGGGTATCAAGCAGTCGGTGACTGGATGCTAGGAATAAGGAAGGGGCTGAGAGGTAGATGGGAGAGTGGGCAGCCATGCTCAAGGGTGGGCACGGAGACACAGGAGGGTGGTCTGTGGTAGGGTGTGTCTTTTGCTGAACCCCTCAGCAAGGGTGACACACGCACAATAAAAGTTTATGTGTCATCTAGCTTTGGAGGCTTGAAAGTCCAAGGTAAAGGACTGCACCTGGGGAGGGTCTTCTTGCTGTGTCCTGACATGGAGGACACCATCACACTGTCACAGGGCACCTGTGTGGCAGAACACAAGGGAGGACCGTGGCTGAGCACATCCTGCGGTTGGGAACCACATCTGAACCAACCGCCTGCTCCAGCCACAGTGACACTGACCTACTTATGAAGGCTCGGCCTCAGCTCTTAGAGCTCCTGCCTGCTGCTGCTTGGGGATTAAGCTCTGAGCCTGTGGTGTTGCTCAGTGCAGAGTGTAGGGTGCTTCCCCAAGGGCCTGCGTTAGAGTCTCAGCACCACCCAGAAGAGCTTTCCAGCATGTGAACTTTGGAAGCAAGGAGGGCTTGAGCTGGACTTTGGTGTCACTGACCTAGCTTCTCTGAAAGTCCACAGGTCAGACTGGAGGGGGGCAACAAGGGTGAGTGAGGAGCAGTGTTTTCTGTGTAGAAAGGTACCCCAGATACTGTGGCTTAAAACAGTGAACACCATCTCACTTTTTTTCTTGCTGCTTACTTGCTTGCTTGCTTGCTTTATGGCCAACTCAGCCCTGGTGTGGCTGGCACACCATGTGCAGTTTGAGATCCAATCGTGATCCCTGCACTTCACCTAAGCTTGCCTAAGCAGGAACTTTGGGCTGCTGAGCTATCTCGCCAGCCCCATCACCCACTTGCTTTCTAGAGTAGGAATCTGGGATGGACTTGGCTGGGTGGTTCTGGCATTGGGACCTTCTTACAGCTAAGACCCCGGCCAGGCTACAGGAATGCCTCCCTGATCATGCACCCCCCCCACGCCACGATGGGTGCTGGTCTCTTCTTCCTGGGCTGCTTGTGTGCTCTCACCCGGCAGCCCTCACACCAGCCCCAGAAGGCAATCCAAGACGGAGCGAGGCAGAGCCTCAGTGGCCTTTGCCATGAGCTCTTGGAAGCTGCCGCTGTCACATTCCTAACCTCCCGCTGTCTGCACAGATCACCTTGATACAGTTTATATCTAGAAGTTTCCCAGGAGCTCCTGTGCTCAAAGGCAGAGCTTTGGGAAGGTGATTGGATTATGTTCTCTTAGCTGACTTGCTGTCAGGAGGTAAGGTCCAGTCAGAAGAGGCAGATCCCTAGGGGTCTGGCCTGAAAAGGCCTGTCCTTCCTGGCTCCTCTCACTGCTCTGCACTCCCGTGCCCCATCAGGCGAGCAGCCTTCTCTCTGCCAGGCCTCTCTGCCATCTTGCTGGGTTATGCAGCCCGCTGACTAAAGCACAAGCCAAAATACATCTCTCCTTTTTTTAGTCTTGGGTGTTCAGTATTGTGTCCTGGTGACAAGCAGGTGACTCAGATTGCTCTACTCTGTGACTGCATCCGTGGGACTCCCGCAGAAGGTGGCAGCATGGGGAATCCTTTGGAACTTAACAATCACGGGGACTTCCTGCTTCAACTCTCATTTCTGATGAGGAAACCAAGACCTAAAGATGGGCAGAGACTTGACCAGGGCCACACAGAAAGTTTGGGCCAGTCCAGCACTCTCAGTGGAGGTCACACAGGCCTCGAGGACAGCACCCTCCTCCTCTGGAAGGCTCAAAACTAGCAGGAACTTGGGGTGGGGGCTGAGGGACTGGGCAACCCTCTGACAGCCAACTGGAGTGTGGCCCTCTTGCCCCTGCATGCTCTAGAACCCAGAGAGACATACTCAGACATGGCTGCTTTTGTCAGGTATCAGCGGCCCCAGCCCGGTGCTCCCAGCTCCTTGTTCTCACAGGACTGTGGGAGGTGCATCCTGCGTGCTCATTGCTTCTCTTCATTCCCTCACAGGCCAACAAAGGTTTACCAAAACTCTACTGTATGTCTGGGCTCCTGTAGGGCCACATGGACATACCTGTCCCTTGACTTCATGTCTGAAACATAGCCTCCTGTTGGGCAGACCTATGCAAAGCAGACAAAGACAGACACAATCATACAGTTATGAAATGTGCCTTGGAGGCTTTCTAAGGCAGTGGAATTTAGTTCTAGGACTGAAAAGATTTTTGAGTGTTTGAGGTGTCTGAGGTGATGGCATGGAGGGGCAATCTAGGCAGAGGGGCTAGAGTGCAGGGTCATCAGAAGGAGACCATGGCATTGGAGGTGGGGTGCAAGGGTGAAACATAAGGGTGCTGACAGACAGGGTGTGGGGGGGCAGAGGCAGCCAGTCAGGCACAGTTTTGACTGCTGCATAACCAGTATACCCATCTGGTCTGGAGTGGCAAAACATAGGATACCGGCATGCAAGATGACTGCCACCACGGGCTTCTGGGCAGAGCCTTGGCCTTAAGGATAGATAGGCAAAGTCTGTGGAGGACTGAAAGAAGCCAGAGCCTGCTGCTAGGACTCTGGGACAGTGAGGTTGGGGCAGCAGGCAAGGAAGGGGGATGCTGCAGGAGTGTGAGGCCTGAAAGCCAGAGATCTGGCAGAGAGGATACCCCAAGGAGGCAGAGTCCTAGGATCAGAGCCTTTCCAGGGACCATCTGGTGGACTTCTATTCCCCGTGGCCCAGGGTATGGAAGAGACCTGAGTGAGCCAGCTCTGCTGCTGATTAACTTCGTGGCCTCGAGGGGGCCCCTGTCTCTGTTTGAGCCAGTGCCCCTGACTGTCAAATATGCATTAAAATCTTCACCTCCTAGGCAACTGTCAGGGTAGAAGGGACAATGGAAAGGAAAGGGTCATATTGAGGGGGAATCCTCACAACCCTCAGGAAGGTTTGGGGTTTGCTGCTTTGAATGAGCTTATGTGGGGGCTGGCTTGGGTGCCTACTAGCCCTAGGCTATGGTGCCCCACAGCCAGCTGACGGTAGGCAGAGACTGCTTCCCCCAAGGGTGGTGGGGGTAAGTGGGTGCTAAGAGGATTAGCAGGTCTTTGTGAGGGCCCAGGTCCAACCTGGTCTGCTCCCACTGCCCCTGCCTCCAGCCCAGGCGGTCTGGCTGCCCAGCTGCTGGCCCTGGGTGGGGTAGAAGAGGAAGCAGAGAGTAGCACAGGCTGGGGCAGAGGGGGAGGGCTGGGAGATGGAGGCAGGATGGGCTCAGAAGAGCTGTGAAACTGGTACAGCTAAGACGTGTGCACACAGACATACTCGACCCTACAAAAAACCACATGCATGCAGTATGCGCTTGCACTCATAAGCACACATGCATACACATCACATAGACACTTGGTGTACAGAGACACATGGCCACACAGCCAGCCCAGTGATGCCCTCCTGCCTATCACACTGTATGAGAACCGGGCCCTCTCATGTCACCAGGCTGCGCTGAACTTTGGGTGTTCCCTCAGTCTTATGACAGTCACACACAGCCCTGTGACTTTCAGTGTCTGCTGAGGATACAAAGGCCCTAGACCAAACCAAGACTTGAACTCATTTTAGAGGGTGTGCCTATGGGGTCTTAATCTGGGAGCCCCCAAGAGGCTCACCCACAGGGAGGGAAGGGGGCTGAGCTGAAGCTGGTAGAGATAACCCATAGTGCCATGGAATTGCACAGCCACATGGCTGTCATGTACACACACACACACACACACACACACACACACACACCTGCTTTCCCCACCCCTGCCCTCTGTTCTGCCCTCTGTTTTCTCTGATGAGAGGAAGAACGTGTCCTGGGGTCCATGAGGGCTGCTTCTGAGAGCTTGGGGTCATACTAGTCACTTTCTTCTCATTTGAATTTTCAGCGAAAGCCCAGGGCGGGTTTGGGGTTCTCAGAGCCAGGGTGGAAAGGGCTGGCCTTGACCTCAGGCATCTGTCTCCATACCTTTGTCCTGGCTTGGAAGGCACAGAAGTTGGAGTGTCCCTGCAAAACTGCCAATAGCAGCTCCCACTGCACACCTGATCACTGATGTCCCTGCTGTGGCTGGGGTGAAGAGAAGGTAGACACAGACAGAGTGGGCCATGGTCAAGGGCATGAATCTCTGTGTGTGGCCCTAGGTCCTTGGGCCCCAGAGGATCCAGAGACACTGAGCCTTACTTGGGACAGTCCTTAAATCTCTCCTAAGGGGAAGCTCCAAGCAAGTGAGAGAGGCTTGGGTCTGGGTGGCACATTCTGTAGATTCCCAGAGCTGCCCCTGCCGCCTGCCAGGAGCCTGGCCAGTGTGGCAGCCAGATATTTATGGCCCTCAGGGAGCACCCAGCCCGAAGGTGGCACAGACAGTAAATCAAGCTCCAGCTTGGTCTTGAGCTGGCCCTGTGGCCTACAAGGCCTCTCATGGACCTTCCAAGTTAGACTAGGAGCTAGTGGGCGTCAGAGTGGAGGCCTAGCCAGTTCTCAGCTTTCATGCTAGCCCTGTGGTGACTCTCTGGGGGCTTCCAGGCCTGCGGTCTGGAGGTTAAGAGCAGAGGGTGTTGGAGCTGCCATCTGCTGGGTCAGGTGTGGGGAACTAGTGACACTTGCAGGGCATCCACTTCTTCATCTCTAAGTGGGGGCCATGGTCCTACCTACCCTGTGGACTTCATGAGGGCTGAGTGAGCTTGCCAAGGTGCCTAAAAAGGCCTGGGTGGGGGAGCTTCTCTTCCCAGAGGTCCTAAAGCAGCACACAGAGATTGGAGCATGGGTGGGTTTCCCTGTCCTGATGTTTGTCTGATTGCTAGGGGAGGCCTCTGTCCAGATGCTGTTGTGGGTTGGTGGTCTCAATGGGGCATAGAGATGCCAGGGCCACTGGGTGACTAGGGAGGGGCCAGGAAGTATTGCCCCCTATATCCTGTGCAGACTGAGAGACAAGGGCAGAGGCTGAATCCAACCCCCACTGTCCACCCCATGCCTGCCCGCTGTTTTCTGGACTGGACAAGCTTGAGGAAACAGATGCGATCCTTGTTCAGGATGAGTTTGCTGAGTCTCGGGGAAAGTGCCTTGCCCGGGTATGCAGCCTGTAAAGGGCAGACTCCAATCTGAATGGGCCTCTGTCCCCAGGCCTGGGAGCTCAGTGTTTCTCAGGCGTCCACTGAGGGTCAGGTCAGGACACCGCGAGGTGGAGGCCTGGCACACAGCAGGCACTTCCAAGGTACTTTCTTTCTGCTTCCACTTCGCTTCCCAGCACAGGGCCATAGGATGCCAGGCAGAGCCTGCCAGGGTTGAGGAGGGGGAGCTGGGGGCCCCAGGGCTCGGGGGAGGCCCAAACCCCACCCAGGGGAGGCTCAGAAGGCAGGCTTGGGCCCTGGGGCCACATCACTTAGCAACTTGTCCCTGGAGACCCACCTGTCTGCCTTAGGTGTCTCAGGGGCTGGCTCAACAGCCATGCCTGCGAGCAGGTGTCTGGCTGCAGCCCTGATGGGGTTGGGCATAGCAGAGAGAAGAGGGTAGTGAGTTCCCCTTCTGTTCCAGGCTGAAGCCACAAGAGTGGCCTCAGGAACAGTGGCCTCTCCATTAAGGCCCAGCTTCTTTCTTTCTGAATCTGTCTCCATCTCTCTTCTGGGCTGTTTCTGCCCTTCTGGATCTGTCTCGCTCCTCTGTCTCTCACCTCCTACCTCTGCCTGTGGAGGTTCTTTCCCCTCTCAGTTCTCCTCCAGGGTTCTGTCTCTCTGTCAGTCTCTTTTTCCAGCCCATCAACTTGTCCTACGTTTCTCTCCACTTTTTTTTCTCTCTCTCTCCCTCCCCCTCCCCTCCTCTCTCCCCTCCCTTTCTCTCCTTTTCTCTCCCATGTCCTACTTCCCTGTCCCTCTCTGTGCATCCACCATTCTTCTCTCCACCCCCATGGCTGGGGTCTCCACCACCAGATTTGCTATTTCCCTACCTCCCCCAGCCAAGGAGCAGTGGGGCAGCATAGGGTCTGGGCCCCGCCCAGAGAAGTGCAGGGAGGCCAGTCTGAGCACAGAGACCAAAATTCACCTTCCAGTCTAGAACCAGCCTCTCTTTTTGGGCCTCAGTTCCCCCATCTGTTAAATAGGTCTAATGGCTCTGGTGGGAAGGTCTAGGTGCCCTCCAGCTACTGTTGCTTATGAACTATGATGGAATGGACAGAGGGTCAGGCCAGGGTGGTGTCCTGTCTTACTGCTGGAGACAGGGTGCCTGGGTAGACAGCCTCTGCCCTTACTCTCCAGCCTGCTGGCTGCCTTGGCGGCCACGCCCTGCGGCAGGTGTGTTTTGAGTAAGCTGAGTCAGAGAGGCCCTGCCCACCTGGGTGGCTTCAGCTGCATCCTTGCGCCCCCTGCTGGCTAAGGTAGGCACTGCTGTCCCACTTGGGTCCTGGGCCCTGACCCCAGGGTTTTACAGAGGGATAGCATTGCTGGCATTGGTGAATGCCATCCAGACCTGAATGATTGTGCACTTGGCATGTACCGCTCACCCTTCCAGCTGTGTGTCTGTGGGCCTTTCTTAGTTCCCACTGGCGCTACTGTGGTCTCTGTCTGAACCGGACATTACTTGCTTCGCAGCCATCGCTCCACCCCACCTTCTGCCTCTGAGCACCGCCAGTGGGTGCCTGCGGCCCAGCACCAGTGCCACCACACTCTGGGGCTGGGTGTTTGTCTGATGAACACTTGTTTACACCTGCAGGAGAAGGCAGACCTAAAAGAGCCAAAGACTCTATGGTGCCCAATTGTGTCATTTTAAGGCTGGGGAAACAGGTCCAGAAGAGGAGCTTGACTGTCGCAGGGTCATGCATTTGAGTATGTGGGTGAATGGCAGAATTGATCTTCTGGATCTTTGATCAGCTCAGGGCGGTGCCTCCTGGTCACTGTCCAGGACCCAGGACAGGGTAGGGTCAAGGACAAGAAGCTGAGCCCCATGTGCAGCCTTCCAGGAGGGATGGTGACCATGCAGGTGCTCCATCCTCAGGGTGTGGGAGTCTGAAATTCAGAGGACACGCGTAGGGAATGGGTTGCCATTGCCAGCATGGCAGGAAAGGGGGTGGGAGTTCAGCTGCGAGCATGGACAGGACAGCTGAGTGTGTGGAACAATCCTGAGGTCCAGCTTGCTTTGCAACCTGGTGCTGGGGAGGAGACCCTGAAAGGGATGCTGGATATCAGAGGGGTCCCAGATTGCCAGGACAAGGAAGGTTAGGGTTCAGGTTCTGGTTTTGGCCTTCTTGGCCCTCTACCAGGCTTCCTAGAATCTGCTCTGCTCCAGGCAGAAGCAGAGGATGGAAGACCACAGCTGCCTAGAACCCAAGGTCCAGGGGCCCAATGAACAAAAACTATCATTCCAGAAATTGGTCTCTTACATCCATCCCAGGGTGACAGAGGTCAGAGCAGCAGCATCCTCCGGAGATCAACTAGGATAGAGGAACTGTTCTGGTGCCTGTCTTGGGCAGGAGACCCTTGGGGACTGTGCAGGCTGGTACACAAGAGCTGTTCAACTCCGATTAGTGTGCTTCACAAAATGCAGGTTCTACCTCCATCAGGAAGATGGGAGTGAGAGCTGGGTGGAGCACACCTTTAAGTCCAGCATGCAGGGGGCTGAGGCCAGGGGACTGCAAGTTCAATCCTTGCCTGGTCAATTTAATAATTTAATAAAACTCTGTCTCAGAGTGAAACATTGAAAAACGGGTGGGGATGTAGCACCACAAGAAGGCCTGAGTGCAATCCTCAGTCCTAAAAAACCAAAAAGAGGGAGAAAGCCAGGTTCTTGCAGGGGAGACTGGGATGGCAGAGCCACAGCCTCTCCAGGGGGAGGACTTAGAAGCCAGCAGAGAGTTCAGTGCAGGATTTGCTGATGGGGCTTCATGCATGGGCAAGTGTTGTGAGGAGGCCCAGGAGATGGAGCCACAAAGATCAGAGGAGCTCAGATGTCACTGGAGAGCAGGCGCAGCAGGAAGCCCTTTCAAGGCACACATCCTCACACCTACTTGCTGTCTCTGCAGATTCCCAGGTGCCCAGGCCTCTGCTCTACAAGGTTTGGGGTATGCCCACATTTTCACATGTTCCCTGGGGCCATCCTGACAGGCCTGCTGCAGACCAGTGTTAGGAAGCCAGAGCCTGAGCTTCTTGCCAAGCTTCAGCCTCTGTGAAGGCAGATCCCAAGTGTCCCTGGGTTGGAGGGTCTTTCCAGCTTGCCACCCACTGCCTCTCCTGGCAGGGAGAATCTGATGTACCCAAGGCGTATGGGCAGCTTGCTTTTAGAGTGCAACTGGACGCGGATGGACGCTGCCAGGCCAGGTTGCCGGCTCAGTTGTCATGCCCATGGAATTCTCAGCTGCTGTGCTGTGGGAGGGGTGGGCAGGGTTTGCAGTGGTTCAGGGGGCCTGGCAGCCACCACTGACCTCACCCTGCAAGAGCCTAGCTCTTCTGGGTTGGTGGGAGGTCATCTAGGGCTGTTGGCTACTAAGGGCTGATATTTACCTCCTGCCCCTGAGACCCCAAACAGAGACTCTGGCAGACACTGCTGGCCACCAGGGTGGAGATGTAGATTCTTGGCTCTGGCTCAAATGGCAGGAGGCGCTGCAGAGTGCTGTCATGTGGGAGTGCTGCCCCCACCCTGCCTGTAGCACCTCATTAGCATGCCAGCGGCCACCCGGTGGAGAGGCAAGGTTACTGCGAACACAGGGAAGGGAAGGCTGCTCACTGCCTGCCCGCGGCTCCGGCTGACCCTGTGGGCCCTGGCTTTCTCCCGGAGGCAGCTGACTGTCTCCCTTCTCACCTCTGCCTACAGTAACCATCTCCTCCTTCCCTGCCCTTCCTTCCCTTGCTCTTGGGGCCCTGGCCTGACTTCCTCCCCCCCACGAAACCCTTTGGAGCCTTGCAGATGGGATCTGAGCCCCAGTTCCTGCTGCTGCTGTTCCCTAGTTCTGTGACCTTGGGCAAACTGCTAAGCCTCTGAGGTGCAATTTATTTATTGCAGAATGGGGCTGATAGATACTATCTCATGAATAGATTATGGCGCTCTAAACTACCTGGACTTGACTGAGAACTTGCTCCAGTGCTGGCACTGTGCCTGTGCTTGATGGGTTATCTTCCTCAGTACCAAGGGCAGCTGCCACCCTTATCACCCTCATTTTATAGACAGGTAAACCAAGGCCTGCTCCTTATAGTATAGCAGCCAGTGCAGAGCTGGTCTTGTGGCCTCCAGAGCCTTGTTCTCTGCCAGGTGGCAGGGCCCTGAGGGAGCAGGCAAGGCCATAGGTGGGAGTGTGCCACCCTGAGCAGGGTGGGGGGTGAGGCCAGTCCCGGGAAGCCAGTCCCGGGCCATCTGGTGTGTGTAAACCAAGACCTGGAGAGTGGGGAAGGTGCTAACCACACCTGGAGGGAGGGACTAGTCAGCGCAGCGAAGAGGCCGAGATACAACGCAGGCCCCACCTTCTCCTCTGTCCAAGCAGAGTGTCTGAGCTGCCTCAGTGGGAGTGTGACAGCCAGTGCCAGCAGACTTTGCCTTCTCCTTCTGCGACCAGTGCTACAAGTCCTGGGCTCTCTGCCTAAGGGGTGACAATCTTTAGTCCCTACTCAAGGACCGTGTTTACCTGGGATAATATATGTCTTCAGTTGAAGAGCTCTCAGCTCAGAATAGGGCCCAGACCCAGCAGAATCACACAGCCAGGGCAGCCAAGGCCCTGTCCCTCCACCCCCAGCAGACACGCCCCCTCCTCAAGGCCGGCTCTCCCCTCAGCTGACCCCTTCTTGGCATTCTGAAGTCCTTGCCGGTGTGAGGTTGGTGCTCATTCACCCTAATTGACCCGGTGGGGATCTTCCAAACTCTTGGAGCTTGGAAGATCCTGCAGAATTATTTTGGGTTTTGAAAACGAACACATTTATGCCAGGCAAGGAGGATTATAAATCAATGCTGCTGTGATTGGTCAGTGCAGAAGGGCAAGCACGCTGGATGGCACGCTTAGGGCTGTGCTGCAGCAACCCGAGCCTGGACTCCCCCTCTGCTCTGTCTTAGGGATGGAGTCAGGAAGGCTGAATGTGATCACTGGAAGCTGGCTGTGTCCACCCCTGAGCAGTTCACAGAGCTGTGCTGAGCACTGTGGCAGCAGTGGGACTCCTCAGGGCTCAGCCCCTCTGCATCAGTTCACTCTGGCTGCCTGGCCAGAAATAAATCTAGGTAGATCCAGGGAGTCCGTTTTGGTGTGGGCAGGTCTGAGGCTCAGCGGGGTGTGCAAGACAGGGGGCGGGGTGTGCAGGACAGGGGACATGGCCAGAAGCTTAGCTCTCTGAGCAAGGCGATCCGCCTCTGTGCATCAGTATTCCTCCCGCAAATGGGGATAATAGCAGCGTCACCTCATGGGGTACCGCTGGGGCCAGGACGTGGCTGGGTGAGATGGGGAAGGGCTCTCTGGGCTTAGCATGATGGCTCACTCACTCCTGCAGTGTGCTGCAGAGGCAGTGACTGATGAGGGGGCTGGTGAAGTGGGAGGCAAGAATGACCCTTGGGAATCCTGGAGGGCTGGCTGCAGCTAAGCAGAGGCAGGGTGGGCGCTTCACAGTTGGCCCAAGAGGAGGGTGTTTTATTGATGAGAAGAGTCTGGGTCTGGAGGGTCAAGTGGGGTGGGAAGTGGACCCAGGAGCCCCAGCTGGGACAGCACCCACCTGTGGCATGGGGGGCCGTGCCTGGGTAGTGTGCAGGAGTAGGGAGCACAGTTGGGGATGAGAGACCTGGGGCCTCACAGGAGGACTGTGCAGTTGAGGGGCAGGAAGCACTGGTCGAAGGCTAGGCTGCTCCTCCACCTGAGGCAGGTGGGCACAGCTGAATGGTGTGGAGGGCAGTGAAGGGCCATGCCAAGGGCCAACGGTTCCCACCCCACTTGGGGAGGCAGGTCCCAGGTCAAGACTGACAGGCTGTCCTGGTTCAGACATCAGGACTCAGAATAGGGCATGGAGATGGGGTTGGGTACTGTTGAGGACTGTATCCACAGGGCCTTTTGGGGCCATTGCTGCTCTCAGCATTCCTCTGTGCCTTGACCATCTCCCCCAGGGGTGAAGACCCCACACTGGGCAGAGGCTAAGCCACCTAAGTCACCACTGCTTCCCCAGCCAAGCAGGAGGAGCCAATGTGGGGGGTGGGGCAGTGGGAGAGGCAGCTGGGTGCTTCCTAGAAAGCAGGTTTCCAGAGATACCTGAGAGAGCCGGAGGGGGCTGGCTGGACACTTTGTGGCCTCTGGTGAATTCTCCTCTGCACTTTCTTCATGAATCCGGGGGCAATGGCACATCATAGGTATGGGGAATGCTAGCGCATCAGGCACATCCCAGGAGCCTGGGGGAGC